GCTCTTCCGATCTGATAGTACATCGTGGTTTGCATTTGCAAAATATTAGTTATCTATAAAGTATATATTACGTATATTAAATATAAATTAGAAACCTATAAAAAAAAAGTTAAACGACATATTTTAAGTAAACGACATCATTTATGCTTTTGCTAATTTCATGTATGCACATATATTTTCTGAGTGGTTACCCCTTCGATTCAATGCTCCAGTTCTCTGAATGTTGTCACACTCTTAGTGTAATTAGAAATACTGAGCATAATGAAATTAGCAAAAGCATAAATGATGTCGTTATCGAAAGTGAACATGTGTTGGCTGTCTGAGCTGTGGCTTTTGTAAAAAGAGTTTGTAAAAAAAATTAATAGTAATTGTGCCTTGATGTAAAGTGACCATATACAATTAATCGTTCATGCGAGCGAAAATGTTGGCAAGTCATGCTGGAATCACTAATAGTTTTGACAGTAGTAAATTGCATTTTCATGCTCGGTTCCACAGTGACGACCTGTGCATTGTGGTAATTATCACGGACTGTTTCGTTTTTTTATTGCAATTTCGCGTAAATAAATTATAAAATAATTCTCTCAGCATTATTTAAATATATGTATATTATAATTATATGTGTTATTAATAATTTCGTCGTATATCAGGTGGCAATATCATGGCCATCATTGTTGTCCTGACAATAAGAAAACTGCTGCTCAACAAAAATTTGATTCAAAGAGATCGAAGAACTATACTTTAGAAACCGCCAAAAAGCTAAAAGGAAAATCAGATTTCGATGGTTATGTTAATGTTGTTAGCAAGTCCGGCACAAATGGTAGTCACGAGCACAAAAGTAAAAGAAGTCAGAAGAAACGATCTAAGAAAGGTTTGGAGTATCAAAGCAGAAGCGATCAGAAAATAACATTCCCGTAAATTTTATTTCACCACTCTTTTCATGTTGTAAATAATATATTTTTTAATATTATTATAATTTATTATTGTGTGTACTAAATATGCATTTCAGCGAAGGATTAGAAGTAAGAAAGTTCGATGAAAAAGACAAATTTTTGTCGGCGGCTTCTCAAACGATAAATGATACCAAGTCGACGATCGTAATGGAATTTTCAACAGTCCAAAAACTCGTGCAGATCGTCGATAACGACCCCGATATTAATTCAGCGCGAGCTCCTTTCAAGGAAATTGTCATCCAAAAAGATACGGCAGACAAGAAGCATGATAATAATATCGAGCAAAATTTTGAGGCTAATGTAACTGCTACTGACTCTTGATACAAATTGCCATGACAAATTGACAGATTAATAAGTTACCAATATAAATCTTACTATATGGGTGTCATACATTCTAAGATTAAAGATCGAAAAAATAAATTTTATAAACATAAATCAAGATTGTATCACTATGATGCCTGATATTTGAGATTTCGTCTTATTTATTATTCAAGTTTATTTTAAGAAAACTTGTATAAATATGCGCAAGCAAATAGCTTTTCTTAATGAACACGGACTGAAGATATACGTTCCTCTGACTTAATCAACATTGGTTTTATCGCTGAAAGAATCCTTGAATATACAGTCTTCATTATCGTCCAATATTTTTATTTAATTTTCACATTCCACATTTATTTTAAATTCTTGACGCCGAATTCTTGAATTTTTATCTCAAGATCTTTTACAAACACTATAATCGCTCTTTTCGGCTTTCAAATCTGTATCTGTGTTATTCTTCTTATTCAAAGAATCATCCGACTTGTAACTATTCGAATGTTCGGCTAGTCTGTTACATATTCGTGACGTTTCCCTGTTCTTTTCCGTGCACAGACGTACGTTTCGACATTCTCCTGATCGAACGCATATTTTTTCCCTTTTACGGCACGATCGACATTTTTGTTGATCTTCACGATTACGTTCGAAGCAAGGGGAATCCTTGAGTCTCCGTCGCGGATGAACTGATTGTAAACCATTTCTCACGCATCTCGGATCGTGCGAACGTACTCTTCCGTGTTTCTGCGTCTGCCTTCTACGCACGCAACACTCGCTCGAATCCACTTTTCTGAGATTCTTCGAGAATCTGGGGAAACTGATGAAAGAGAAATACCTTAACCGAAAGCAACGTACAGAACGGACATGTTTCGACATACTTAAATCGCTCGGTTTGAGACCTACGACTATTACGAGCTCGTACCATACCGAAAAGAGGATACACCAGACGCACGCTATGCAAGCGCTGTTGAATATGGTAATACAGTCCATCATCGTGCAAGAAACTTCGCATTTTGTGATTTAGAATGACATTTACAAATTCATATCCCAATCGATTAAATTTGATTCTTTTAGAATATATAGTAATAAAGTTTCCAATTATGTATTATGTTAACCGATTATGTCAACGCTGCAGATTGCTTTGTACAATACATACAATAACAACGTAACGGTGGCACATGAAGTACAAAACTATAACCAACGGTCGTTGCTTCCAGCTGTCAACTGCAACGCTACATCGCGGTCAGAAAAATAGAGTCGAAACTTTTACGATTTTATATCATATCGTGCAAAATATTTCTTACATGCAATCGTTGATTTCCAAATAAGGCTGGAATGCTAGAGATTATCGCGTTATACAGCTGCGCTTGTCTTTGATAAATTCTTGTGTTTCAAGCATGAGTTTAATCTGCTTATACTTGCATTTTTTTAAACTATGTAATTGACTAATTTTTAATGTTTAACCAGAAAGAGCTGTGGTAAGGAGTACTTCGAGTATAATAATAAATGATATCCACGTTTTATATGCGCATCTTAATAAACGTTGCACAATTGGATTGTTGATTTTGCTGTGCATTCGCTGTAATAACGTCGTATTATAACGTTACGCTTCGCGTCGGACAGGATAATCTACGGTCTTTAAAATATTCTTGCGGAAACTTGTAATTTCGTATTGGTATTTTCACAACCGGATGCAAGACGCATTGATTACCTTAATTGTAAGTTACTTTATTCTATCTTGGAATGTTTAGAAACACGTCAATACGTGTTTCTAAACATTTCAATTACAAATAAACAATAAAATTAACGTATATTTAACGACTTTATGATTTTGATTCATCTTACAAGTTAATTATGAGGAAATTAATAATTAAACAATGTCTCAAACTCATTCTTCTTATGTTAATTAATATTTACTTCTGTTAGATCTGTGTTAATTCTATATGATCTCTGCTTTGCTAGACTAATGATATTTGTTTAATGTTAAGTATGCGGATGAAATTAGAAGTTAAGTCTGACAGGGTTATTAATTACTCATTGTCAGTTAATTATTTTAATTAATAAGAAAATTATGAATCATTAGATTCAAGACAAATTGCACAAATAAAGCCTTTAAACCTTAAATCTTTCAACAGTATTTTAATTTAAATTAAAAATATAATTTGATACAAGTTATCTTATTAAATAATAAATTATTTATACGTATTAATTCTTCGATACCACTGTGACATAAATGACATTTTCTTTACCCGACCTTTTTTTTATTATAATTTTTTTATATTAATAAAAATACATATTTTACAAATACACATATTCGCTTGTTACCGTTATATTTATTAATGTATGGCGTTTTGATTAAAAAACAATTTGTTATAATATTCATTTTTATGCAATACATTTTTATGTGTATTTTTATGTTTATTTTTTTACAATACCTAATATTGCGTTGCACGTGCGTCAAATAGTTTAATTACTGTAAAATTCCGTTTATACGAACATGTTTCAAAATGTCCTTCAGTACAAGGCAACTCCGATAACTGAATAATTTGAATAATAGAAGTTCATTAGTTCTCCGGGCTCTTCCATTTTTTTTTCTATCTATAGTATATTTATGAGTTTTAATAATAGCGGTTGACATTGAAAAAAAAACTGAAAGTAAGCATGTTTGTGTATTTTGCGTAAGTTAAAACACACAGACTTACAAGAGAAGTTAGGAAACCTGAAAATTCGGAAAAATTTGAAACTTTGTGTAAAAGTAGAGCAGTTCATCCGTAATACAAAACTATTTTTTGTTGGTGCTCTATTCCGTTTTGAAGGGATGAAATCACCCCTTGAAAAAAATCGGGTTTTTTTTTCCGACGTAAATATCGTCGAAACT